GGCTGCCCTCGGGGAGAGCCGCAGCAGGAGGGTCTGGCAACCACTAGCAACCACACCTGCAAGGCTGGTGAGAACTGAGTGGGCCGCTGCCTCGGGCTCTGAAAGGCAGAGGAACCTGTGGGTTGTGTGTGGCATGTAGGAAGGAGGTGGGGGGGGGGGGGGCTGTGTGGCTGGGGGGAGGAGGGGAAGGAGATGGTAGGCGAGAATGGAAAGGGGACAAGAAAGAGCTTTGAAAGGAGCCATGGCGGAGTCCTCGGAAGGTGAATTCAAGGACTTTCTGAAGGAGATGCTGGGTAGACTCCTGTGACACACTCAGGAGAGCCTTACCAAAGACACTGTCATTCTTCAGGGCTCGTGATGTGATCGGAAACAAGGTCAATGTCAAGGGCGCGCAGCCTCCAGGCACCCACTGTGCTCAGGTTCCTCTGATCCAGCGCGGTAGACGCACAGTCCACACAGCGCGGCGGTTTCTCCAGGTGCCTATCTCCACGCTGAGGTTAGAGTCAGGCCAGGAGTTGAGGAATCAAACAGTTGATGGCTTGGGCAAGTCTTGCATGTGGTGTCCATTTCTAAAGACCAGGACATTCAAAGTCTGTTGATGAAGGCCCCCCTATTTAGCCACTGCCAGCACCTACCCCTTTGTCCCCTACCCCATTTGCACTGCCTCCCCCCAACCCCCACCACTCGAACCATCCATCCGTGCCATCCTGGTGGCCTGCTCCCTCTCCCTCCAGGTTAGGTCCCCCAAAGCACTTAATCCACGCCCGTCACCTCAGGCAGACCTGCTCATCACTCGTTTGCTGTCTGCCTGCCTCTCTGGAGTCCCAGCTCCCGGGGATCAGGATGACATCTGTATAATTCCCTGGAGACTCCCCAGTACTGAGCATAAGTGGTGGCACACTGTAGGAGCTCAGTGAATATTTGTTGAATGAATGAATGAATGAATGAATGAATTTTCCTCTTTTATGCACCTGTGGCTGGCTGAGTCCCTTCTAAAGGACAATCTCTTAAGATAATGTTTATCCTTCAGTGTCTTTATGGGAAGGTCCTATCTTGGGAGAAATAGTGGCTGCCTCAGGTGACTGCAAATCTCTGCTTTGATGGTGGTGGTAATCATTTTAATAAGAATAATACTACCAGTAATAATAATAGGAAGTGCTGCCACTAGTTGAGACCCTACTGGTTTTGGGGGCTGTGCTGGGGAGTGTTTGTAAGCATCACTGTATTTGTTCTCTGATGTTCCAGACATTAATGATGAGAGGGAATCATTGTTTGGCTGCCTCCTGCATGCCCTCTACTGGGGACTGAGCCCACAACCCGGACATGTGCCCCTGACTGGAATCGAACCTGGCACCCTTGAGTTCACAGGCTGACACTCTATCCACTGAGCCAAACTGGCTAGGGCTAGTGTCATTATCTTTTCTTTCCGCAACCAAGGTACATGACCGGAATCGAACCTGGGACCTTTCAGTCCGCAGACCGACGCTCTACCACTGAGCCAAACCGGTTTCGGCTGAATTTATGCACATTTTTTGACACGCTCTTTTTCTCTTTTGAAAGTGTGAGGCTGCAATCCTCAAAATGGCACATCCCGGTCTCTCTCCACCCATCGGCCACATGGGGGCGCTCCAGCCCAGCCCATGTTACAGCCTGGCCCTGCCTGCCTGCCCAGAACTCTTCCTCCTCACTCTCCTAGAAAAGCTTATCTCCTCGTTTACATTTGCACATGACAGGCTAGCGAGGGGCAGCAGCTTTGGGGGGTTTTGGTATAGGTTTGCTTGGTCCCAGCCAGTCCCTGGCTCATGTATCGATACAAATGACCAGAATCAGCTTGAACCGGAGGAGATCTATATTCTGAGGCCCCACTGAAAAGGAACATTCTTCCCTGCAGCGGCAGAGCCCCGGGATTTCAAAGAACAGGCTTCCATTTATGTCCGGGCTGCCCGCAGCCATAAAGCAGAGAAAAGCAGGGGCAGACAGGCGGGAGTCTGGCTGGCGGGAGGCTGCTTCGGAAAAGGGTTCTGGGGGCCTTTATGTTTGATGTGGGTGTGGAGTGTGGTCATGGGCTCCCAGCCCCGCTCAGAGTGTGAACTTGGGACAGTCTTCTGACCCTGGCCTCTCCTTACCTTACAGAGGAAGGAGCCATGCTCTGTGCTCACAGTTCCCGCCCGATTCTGGCTTTTGGTTGCTGGCCACAGGGAGGTGTGACTTTGCTAAAGTTATTTTTGGTGGGGATCTGGCAGACATCCATCTAGTGGTGAATGTCTGCCTCATGCAGCTGGCATCTTTCTTTTTGGAGACCTCATCTATGTACCTACATAGAAGTCTAAAATGCTTGAGCTGGAAGGGACCACAAGAACCATGTAGGTAGTGCTTCATTTTTAATAGATGAAGGACATTTAGTCACCGGCATCGTCATCATCATCGTGTCTGACAACACTTTACAAAGTGATCTCCCTGCCATTATCTCCGTTGTCCTGCCAACACCCCTCATTTCTCAGGTGGGGAGCTGGGCTCAGAAAGGCTGAGCAACTCGTTCAGGGTCACACAGCAAGCTAGAGCTAAGCTGCAAATCCAGACCTTTAAGTAACTTGTGTTTTTGTGGAATTCCCTAGAAATCTTAGGCAGTTCCCAAGCTACCATGGGAAAGGCTGAATTCTGCTGTAATACACAGATCTGCTTACTGAGCAGCTGACAGAACCAATCAGTGAACTGAATCATCCCATTCATTCACCCACCCGTTATCTCCAATGGATGTGTCCTGGACTAAGTGCTGAGAATACAATGATAAGCAAGACAGAATGGCCCCCGAGGGGATGGTGCTTAGCTCACAGCCTTATAATTGTGTTCACCGGTTTGTGTCCAATTCAATTTGTCCCTTGGATGACACACCCATCCTTCCTGCCTTCTGCACGTACGTTCTGGGAAAGGTGACGCAGAAGTGCGTGGTATCCCCGTGGTTACCTTCTGCGTGCGCGAGCTCATTGCCAGTCTCGGTCTCTCAGTGCCCAGGGTACCTCCTGAGGACGTCGGTCAGGTGACAGGCTCACCTCTTGGTCCCTACGCGATGTATTTTGGTGGCATTTGGTCTCTGGCTGCCCAATGCTACAAACACCCTTTCCCCTCAGATACAAGGCGCCAGGCAGACGTGCACCGAGACGACCTTTGACCTTGGTCTCACGGTCTGTGATCTTAGATTACATTTTGTACTTCGAAGGATAAAGGGGAAAAGGCGCCCATTTTGGCGTCAGACCTGGGTTCGAATCCTAGCTCCAATTGCTGCACCTCAGGGATTCCTCACAACCTATTTAACTACTCGCTGTAAATTAAAATACAACATAAAACTGCAAAGGCCAGTCTGCTCCCGTATCCTCACCCCTCGAGGGAGAACAACCATCCTCTTGTATTTCTAACCTCGAACATCTCCTCTAAAGTCTTGCAGTTTGAACCCTCCTGAGAGGCTGTCCTCCTTCATGTCACAGTAGTCTTGGCCACCAATGGATTCAGACTTTATGACTTGAAATGTGGGGTCTTTATTTTTATCTCACCCAAGGATATGTTTTGTTGATTTGAGGAAGAGAAGGGGAGGGAGGGAGAAAGGAAGGAAGAGAAGGAGAAAGAGAGAGAGAGAGAGAGAGAGAGAGAGAGAGGTCAATTGCCTCCCGCAAGCACTTGCTGGAGATCTAATTCACAACCTAGGCATGCGCCCTGACCAGAAATTGAACCCACATCATTTTTGATGTACAGGAAGATACTCCCAGCAACTAAGCCGCCTATCCTAGGGATAAAATGTTCTTGTGCACTTGGTGAGAAAGAGGTATTTCTGCCTGTTTTTAAAAGCAGGGATGTAACTCGTGTGTGTGTGTGTGTGTGTATTAGGAGAATAAAAGATTACCTCATGAACCATAGAACTTTACGATTGGATGAGACCCTAATGACCTTGACCTTGACTCATTTTGAGTCAAGAAAAGTGGCGGGCAGCTTTACAACTTGATTAGGAGCAGAATCATGAGCTTAGCCTGTTTTCTTGTTTATAGTTCAAGTGTTCCTGCTACAAATACTTTTTATGGTAAAGACCAAACAGAAAGCACCGTAGCCAGTAGTGTTTGACAAGTAGAGGGGCTGATCCAAGCACGGCTCCTGGATTTCACTCCACCATTCTGCCATGTCTTCCAGACTTGTCCCAGCCACCCCAGTAGCACAAGCTCACGTCAGTCCAAAGCGAGATGTTCAATAGTTACCACTGCATTTGTAGCGGTTGTTCATGGAAATCTATTAGCAAAGTGCAGCGAAGGGCAGGCCAAGCCATGTGCTTCGGAGCCACCCAGGAGACAGTTAAAATGCAGAGTCCCTGCCCTAACCCTGAACCCCTGGGTGGCGCCCACTGTCTGGCAGTTGAGAGCCAGACTCCTCCTTGGCAGATGCCTCAGACTAACAGCTCTTGGGGAGGTTCCTCAGGTGTTTGGAGTGACTTAGAAAGGAGGGTGCCTATAAACCTGGTCACATAGTGGACTAGACTGAGCCAGAGCTGCATCAAGACCATAGCTGGTGGGAAAGGTAGCGTGCTTTAGCTCAGAATTTGTTTTAAAATCTTGCCCTTAACATATTAGTTTATGAAATTATGTGGTGATAGGATTTAAGCCTTTTTTTTTTCATTTAAGAGACATATTTTTTCCTTAAATAAGGAAGTCTGGGAATCTTATAGGATGGGCATACATCTCAGAAATGGTTTTTCGTTGCTTTATTGCTGAGGGGAGGGGTTGAGGCCCCTACCGCCACCTGGTGGCAGCACTGGACTCTGCATCATTACTATGAGCATGATGTTAACCCGCCTGGGGCCAGGTAACTGGGACAGGAGGCCCACCTTCCAGTTTGTCATTTCAGCAAGACTTCAGTCGAAAGTGAAATCACGTGGCTTCAGCGTAGACAGTGCCACAGCAACACCACAATCCAACGAATAGACACACTGACACCCACGTCCCACTGGCTTCATTTTCCAGGAATCAGCGGCGGCCCCTTGGAAAACCACTACCGCCTGAAGCAGTTCCACTTCCACTGGGGAGCGGTGAATGAGTGGGGCTCGGAGCACACGGTGGAGGACCATGTGTACCCGGCAGAGGTGCGTGGCTGTCCGAGCAGCGTACATGCCGGGCTCCGTTGTGGGATGGCCGACCATCCCAGTGGCCCAGAAACAGAGTTTCCTGGGAGGCGGGACTCTCTGTGCTCCAACAAGAACAGTCGGACACCCACCCGTTCAATCACACAACCGCCCTGAAAGGAGAGTGTTGGTAGCACCTTCATTTAGCAGAAGACGCGCAAGTTCTGAGTGGCTGGGTAACTTGCCAAAATCAGGCAGCTGGGATTCAAGGACAGTCTGTGCTCTGAGCCTCTCACTCAGCTTGCTGGTGTTGGATTTCAGACTCGCACCTTCCTGTCCTTCAGGGTGTGAGACCACTATCGAGAATCTGAAAGTCTTTACAATAGAGATCATCCTAAAACCGTGGTCGGCAAACTTTGGCTCTTTGGCCCCTTGAGTGGGCGATTCTATTTTGAAGAAGTGGCGTAAGAAGAAGTTTAAGTTTAAAAAATGTGGTTCTCAAAAGAAATTCCAATCATCATACTGTTGATATTCGGCTCTGTTGACTAATGAGTTTGCCGACCACTGTCCTAAAACAAAGTGACCTCTGAAATTAAAAAAAAAAAAAAAAGGGGGGGGGGGGATCAGGGAAAAATGAGCAGAGGTTAATGGCAGGGATTGGTTTTTGAGGTTATGGTGGGGTGATGAGTGGTAATGTCTAGATTTCCCCCAATATTTTATTATGAAAAATTTCTAACATACCAAAAAGCATATAGTGAGAACCCGTGAGTCTGCCACTCAGGCCCTAAGATGAACGTTTTGCCGTATTCACTCCATCACACGTCTGTCCACCCTCCCATCCCTTTATCCACCCACCAACCACCTGCCTTTTGGATGCATTTCAAGTTATGAGCTGTTTTTGTTTCAACTTTCTGTTGCCGTTGTTATGGGAGTCATACGATAGTTAAAATCCAACTAGAGTCCAGCCAAGCCCCAAAATAACAATGACCCGTAGTCACACGCCCAGACGTGACCACTGGGGACAGCTTATAAATAGGGAATTACACCTATTGATATAATTACACACATGTTTACAAATGTGACGAAAATGAATGAGCAGCGCCTTGCAACATGCTCCCTTTCATTTGACCACACAGACTGTGTATTCACACCACGGCTTTGGATTAACAGATATTTGAGCAGAGGAGCTTGTTGTAAAGTAATCTATTAGCATAGAGGAGAGGTCAGCGATGGGACCCACCAGGGGCCCTCTCTGAATCAGACCCCTCCTGGCCATGCCTCGGACCCACGGTGCAGAGTGCTGTTCCTGTGGGTGGCTTGGAGGGCAGTGCCAGCTCCAAAGGTGGCGTCTGTGAAGGTGGCGGCTGCAGTCAGGGCTGTGGGCCAGCTGCCTCTATTTCTGGCAGATTGCAATAGGACAGCAGGTGCGGGGTTCCAGATAAGCTACAGAGAAGCAGAGAGATGCCTTGCCACCCTCATTGTCCCCAGTGCACATGGCTGGGAACACTGGGACTTGGGAGTGAGGTGCCACCTGGAACACACGTGGACCCCGCACTCTGCAGAGGGCCCAGGGCCCTGGCACCCAGCAGCACCTGGGGAGGGCTTGCTGCCTTGGGTTTGGGTCTGTCTCCATTCAGAAAGATCTCACCACAGCTCACTCCTGTCGAGGGAAATCTGTAAAGACACCCAGGCCCTGTCCAGGTTCTGAGCCAAACCCGGCGTGGGCAGCACCGCACGCCCTCATCACAGAGGACCCCGAGCCCGCCCAGGGGTGCTGGCTCTGCCTCCTGCTAGCCAGTGACCCAGGAAAGCCTCTTTCCCAAGCCTGTCCCCTGCCCCTGGTTTAAATCCTTGTCCTCTGGCCAGTCCTGGTGCCAGAAGGAAGGGTGTGAAATAAGGACAGAGGAAGTTCAAGTGAGGGCGACAAATGGAGAGGAAAATGCAATATTGGGGCATTAAAATTATATGTTGTTTATGTGAAATTCAAATTTTACTGGGAGTCCTGCATTTGATCTGGCAAACACTCTCAAGGATATCTGAAAAAAAATAGGAAAAATAGCAAATAACCCACTCCCTCCGACCCCATTTCTATTTTATAAAGTTAGGGCGAGCCTCTTTCTCTCCCACCCAAACCTCCAAGGCCCTTAGGCTCTGTGCTTCCATCAGCCACTTGGGGCTCCAAGCATGCGGGCGGCGCCCGCGTTCCTTACACCGGCTGCTCCGGCTGAAACCATTAGGACCGTTGATTGGACACATAGGTCTGCCCACAGCAGGGGAGCAACTGCTTCATTGCTCGCCGCACCCTGGTGGGCACAAGGTCTCTCTCTCCTGTGTTTCAGCTGCATTTAGTTCACTGGAACGCTGTGAAATACCAGCACTACAAGGACGCCGTGATGGGAGAGAACGGCTTGGCGGTGATAGGCGTGTTTTTAAAGGTAACCTCTCGCTGGGGCTCGCCCTCCTGGGGAAGAAGTGGTGTGGGTAACCGGGCTGCCTTTTGAACAGTCTCCATAGAATGAGGGTGCTGGTCGCCCCGCCCCCTGCCTTTTGGAATGAACATGTCCTGTCTGTGCTGTGCAGCTGGGGTCCCACCACGAGGCTCTGCAGAAGCTGGTGGACGTCCTGCCGGCAATAAAGCACAAGGTAAGCCACCATATCACAGTCGGCGTCCAAGGAGAAGCAAGGCTGTAAGCCAGCTGGTGCATGTGCCCGGGAGTGGGGGGGTTAGGGGGGTATCTGAGTCCCATCGGAGATGGAATGCGTGGGGCTGACTCCGGTTGTGTCTCTGCTGTCATTGTGTCACTGCTATTTCCGGGGCCCCTGTCTTCTCGGTATAAATGGGGTGCTGGACTCAATTTGAGTTTCTCCCAAAAAGTCATTCATTCCGGCAGCATCTTGAAGATGTTTGCCTTGTCCCCAGGCACTGGTCCCGCCCCAAGCAATGACATCCATTAATAATAATATTTGTTTTAAAACTGACGGAAATAAATGCCTAACTACTAACCTTTAAGAGTGCCTACCCAGCCGGGACCGGTTTGGCTCAGTGGATAGAGCGTCGGCCTGCGGACTGAAAGGTCCCAGGTTTGATTCCGGGCAAGGGCATGTACCTTGGTTGCGGGCACATCCCCGGTGGGGAGTGTGCAAGAGGCAGCTGATCGATGATTCTCTCTCATCGATGTTTCTAACTCTCTATCACTCTCTTCCTCTCTGTGAAAAATCAATAAAATATATTTTAAAAAAAAGAAAAAAAAAAAGAGTGCCTACCCAAGTGCCACCTGGCACACCCCTGGGGCAACACAGGGCCACCCCCCCGCCCCCCTGAGAGCATGGAGACCACGGGAAGAGGGAAAACCCTACACCCACCACGCGTGGGAGGCAGAGCACAGCTCCTCTCAAACACCTTGTGGCACTGGGCACGGCTCTGAAAGACAACAAGGCCAACCATGCCGCTTTCTTCAGCCGCGGCCGAGAAAGGGCTTTGATGGAGACGTGGAAATTCCAAAGACGTGCCGTTTATTTGTTCGGTACCGAACAAAAGCATCCTGAGAGGGAAGGAGTCACTGTGGTCCTTGAACGTGGTCCTTGGACGGACGGGCTCCCACCTGTCTTAACAATGGTGAGCGCGGCCCACAGGAAGGCGGGGGTCAGCCCTTCCTCGGCCGGCTCACGGGGTCCTTTGATCCATGTGGTGCCTTCCCCTTGATGTGGACTCTGCGTGGGCCTCTTGGGACCGAGCCCAGGTCCCCCTCCGCGCCGCCCGCGGCCATGGCTGCCAGCTCAGGAACTCCACAAGGGCAAGGTGCTCGGAGCATCCTCTCCCTCGCTGGCCTTGGGCCAGAGTAAACCTGGGACGTTTGCCCCACCAGCATCCACCTCCTAATGGGTGGCCCCCGTCCGCCTCCCGATGGGAAAGAGAGCAGCTGGCTCTGAGGTCCTGTTTGCTCAGGGGGTGTTTTCCTTCTAAGGAAGGCTCTGGAGCCTTCTCTCCCTCCTCCCCCCCCCCCCCCCACACACACACACTCTCACACTCACACTCACAATCACATAAGCTAACTCAGGGTCCCTGGGCCAACCGTCAGGGAGGAATGGCGTCTGACATGCAGTCACAGGAGACGCTGCCTGGGCTCAGTCTGGTCCTGAGGATCATCGCTGGGCCTCAGTTTCCTCCCCTGAAAAATAAGGGAATCTTAGCGGTGAAAGACCCAGCCCTGGCGAGCAGGAGCCGTGATCAGTGGGAGGGTGACATGCTCTGTCAGTCATTTACCACAGTCTGCGCTCCGTCCTTGGTTCTGGGCCGACTTTTTGAATGTTTCAGCGTTATGAGTCATCTCTGTGGTGTACATTCTATCGGTGTGGACACATTAACGGAGTCACCCAGCCAGGCCCACACAAAACTGTGCCCCACCCCACGGCCCTCGCTCAGTCATGGCCCCCAAGCCTGGGCGACCTCTAATTTGTTCCAAACCCTATGGTTTTGCCTTGTCTCCCATTTTACTCTCCCACGTTGTACCGAGTGGTGCTTCCTTTGTCAGCTCCCTTTCCTCTTTCCCGAGTGGGATGTGCATGTTAGAAAAGGGAAGACTTTCGCGTGGGCACCCACCACCAGGAGCTGGTTTGTTGGGATTCATGCTGCACGGTGGTGCTAGCCCCGCCAATCCTCTAGCCAGCGGGGCTGGCAGACACACAGAGGGGCCTTCGCTTGCTGTGGGGCTCCGAGGGGGGGCAGCTTTCTGTATTGGAACCCTAATGTGCCTGAGGGACAGGACACGGCTCCCGAGGACATCACTAGAAATGCATAGATGTTCTCTCAAAATGGTCATTGGCAAGAACCTGGCAGCGAGTGGTAGCCCACCAGCTGCTCCTCCGTGCGACCTGCTGCCTCACCCCCCACTACAGTCCGGGGGGCGAGGGGTCAGGGGAGGGAGCAGCCTAGCATTGGGATGGGACACACCTCCCAGCATCTGGGTTCGGCCACTTTCTAACTGTGTGGTTTGAGGAGAGTCACTTATATCTGTTTACTTTCTTCATCAATAACATAAACATACCCCTCAAAGGGTGATTCTAAAAATTCAAGGGAATAGTCTCAGAAGGTGTCTGGCAGCCTTTGGGGCTGGACAAGGGGAGCGGGAAGGGACGTATCTGTCACCACAAATCCACTGGTACGCTTTGCATTTTGTCCCACGAGCCTGTGTGACCTGTTTCCTTCAAGAATTGAGCAGATCAAACAGTGGAATATCTTCCGGCATGAAAAGGAGTGAAGCACCAGCACAGCAACCTGACGGTATTAAGCTGAGAGAAGCCGGACACACAAGTGCACATGCTGTGTGATTCCATTTATAGGAAATGTCCATGTAGGCAAATGCATGTGGACTGAGAGCCGACGAAGCCTGTGGCAAGGGACGGCCGGGTGGAGCGGTGAGGGAGGTGTCAGCCATATGGTTTACTGGGGTTCTTTCCTTTGAGGTGACAATGTTCTAACTTGACTGTGATGATGGTTGCACATCTCTGTCCATGAATATCCTAAAAGCCACAGATCTGTGCACTTCACAGCAGTGAGTTCTGTGCTTTGTGAATTACATTTCAATCATGCTGTCCGGAAGACATTCTTCGATAATCACACAGTGGAACAACACCAGCTCACGCAAGATGCCTCGTAATCATCCGTTGGTATAAACCAACTTCCTTCTTCTTCTTTTTTTAAATCCTTACCAGAGGGTATTTTTCCATTGATATTTAAGGAGAGTGGGAGGGAAGGGGGAGAGACACAGAGAGAAACATCAATGTGAGAGACAATCAATTAGTTGCCTACCGCACACACATTGACCAGGGATATTGGTGACGGAGCCTGCAACCCAGGTACATGCCTTGACCAGAACCGAACCTGGGACCTTTCAGTCCGTAGGCTGATACTCTATCCACTGAGCCAAACCTGCTAGGGCTCCATTGGTTTTTGAGAGAGAGTGGAAGAAAAGGAAAAGACAGAGAGAAACATCAATGTGATAGAAACACATCAATTGGTTGCCTCCTGCACAGCCCCAACCAGGACCCAGGCCAGGGAGGAGCCCGAAACCAAGGTACGTGCCCTTGACTGAAATCGACCCTTTGGTCTCCAGGCTGATGCTCTATCCACTGAGCCAAACTGGCCAGGGCCCAATGTCCTCCTTGTGGGCAGCTTAACCAGCATCTCTCTACTTCTGAGGAATGAATGCCAGCAATCAGTGGACCAGTTCGTCCAGGTCATCCGGGCCACGTGCCTGTGGCTTTGAAAGCTGGGCGGAAGGATTCCATGTGCAGGGAGGCCTCCTTCTTTGGGAATGAGAGGGCATCAGCTTCGTGCTTAAATCCTTCCTTGTGCCCAGCCCGGGCTGGTCTGGTGTTGAGGCCGATTGTGTTATGTTGCTTGCGGGCCTGTCCCTACCTCCTCCTCTCAGTCTCACTCAATTTATAGAGGGTGGGGCCCACCATCCTGGGCTGTCAGCCCGAGGGACTCGAAGGGATTGTTTCCTCTCTGAGCAAAAGCCTGTGGGATGTCTCTGGGTTACAAGGAGGCAGACACTGGCCAGAGACCCTCCTTTCTCTTTACACCCGGGCGCCGTGCTGAGCAGCGTCCAGGGAGCAGCTCCTTCTCCTGCCTCTGCTGGAGATTTTCTCAGTGGCCTCAGCCGGGCAGAAGCAGGGGTGTCGCCCTCTGTAGGACCCCCACCCTGTCTCTTTTTACTGTCTTTGTGTGTTACTTACTCATTCCAGCCACATGGTCACTTTGCTATTCCTCTAGCCCAGTGGTTCTCAACCTTTCTAATGCCACAACCTTTTAATACAGTTCCTCATGTTATGGTGACCCCCAACCATAAAATTATTTTTGTTGCTACTTCATAACTGTAATTTTTCTACTGTTATGAATCGTAATGTAAATATCTGTGTTTTCCGATGTTCTTAATAATAACATTAAGTATTTTAATAAAAATATCTGTTTTCCGGTGGGTCACGACAGGTTGAGAACTGTGGGGGGCTGTTTCTCTGTTTTCCTTGACCCGCATGGAAAATGACAGGTTCCTGAGTGGAGGAGCTGGGGATTAAGAAATTAAAGAATTTTTAAAAAGAGACCAAGACAGAAATAGATTCAAGCTGGGACCCAGGTGGGGGGCTGTCACTCTGATGGAGGGACAGTCAACCAACCAACCACAGACAACACAGTGCATTTATTGATTTCCAGAGGGAGGTTTAAGGTCAAAGAAGTTTGGTGTGCCCAGGTCCTATTCATTCCCTCATTCTTGGGATTTAGCATATCAATACCTGGGTAAGGTAAGGTCCTATTTGTTCCTTATTCCCAGCACATGGATAAAGATAAGAAATCAGTACTGATAATAGTCTCCCACATTTTGAGAAAACCTGTTCCCATGGCTCTGCCTATGCCTTGAGTTCAGCTGATGATAATTAAAGGTCATCCATGTGCATACCCAAGGGGCCCTCTACAGAGAACCGCTGCTGTAGAGCCCAAGGCCATTGGAAAACACAGATATTAACATTATGATTCATAACAGTAGCAAAATTACAGTTATGAAGTAGCAAAGAAAATAATTTTATGGTTGGGGGTCACCACAACATGAGGAACTATATTAAAAGGTCACGGCATTAGAAAGCTTGAGAACCACTGCACCCATCAGGCTGTACCCTACCTCAGGGCCTTGGCACTGGCTGTGTCCACCTCTAGAACATGCATGTCTTTGCTCAGATGTCACCTTCCCAGTGACCATTCTTCTTAACCCCCCCTCCCCATGCCCTACTTTATTTTCCTCCATCCCTGGGTAAACTACTAGATATCTACTTATTATTTGGGTACTGCCTTCTTTCCTTTGGTAAAAGATGAGCTCCATAAAGGTAGATGGTTTTGTACCCCAAAGCCTAAGATAGCATCGGGTTTACCATGGGTACTAAATGCATAGCTGTGAGTAAGTGAATGAATGAATGAATCAACCATTACATCCTATCAGTGTCACTTATAATGCAGAAAGGCAGGTTTCTCCTTATCCTATATATTAAAAGGCTAATATGCAAACAACTGAACAGCGGGATGACCGGTTGCTATGACACACACTGACCACCAGGGGTAGATGCTCAACACAGGAGCTGCCCTCTGGTGGTCAGTGCACTCCCACAGGGAGAACACCATTCAGCCAGAAGCCGACTCATGGCTGGTGAGCGCAGCAGTGGTGGCGGAGCCTCTCCTGCCTCTGTGGCAGCACTAAGGATGTCTGACTGCCGGCTTACTCCTGATCTCCACAGAGAGCAGGCCTAAGCCATCAGTTGGACATCCCCCAAGGGTTCCTGGATTGTGAGAGGGTGCAGGCTGGGCTAAGGCCCTCCCCACCCCCACCCCCACCCCCACCCCCCGAGCACACAAATTTTGTGCACCGGGCCTCTAATCCTTTTATAAAGCACAGAAAGCGCGCAAACTGTGAATTCTGAACACTGGACTCCCAAGCAGGACATGCTTATGGGAGTCCCTTGTGGGAGCAACACAGAAATCTAGGGACACAGTGGTTGAGAACAGCTATCTATGTCCACTGATTCCGCCTGTTCCCTGTGAGAAGGGAAACTCTGGCATATGCTTAGCATTCTCCTAAATCTGTGTCATCACCACAGCCCTGGCACTCAGGGACGGCTGCTTTAGAGAGAAGTTCAGATGTCTTAAGGGGCAGCCACTGTGGAAACAGTATGATAGTTCCTCAAAACTAAACTTAGAATTCCCATAGGATCTGGCATTTCCATTTCTGGGTATATATGCAACACAATTGGAAGCCAGTTCTTAAAGTGATGTTGGTATGTTCATGTTCCCAGCAACATTACTCAGCCAAGGAGTGGAAGCTCTCCAAGTGTCCACTGACAAAGGAATGGATAAACACAGTGTGGCGTACTAGTCAGTGTTAAAAAGGGAGGAGATCCTGACACATGCTACAACATGGATGTACCTGGAGGACATTTTGCTGAGTGAGATAAACCAGTAACAAAAGGATAGACCATAACCAGTGCTTGATTATTTCACTCATATCAGGTCCCTAGAGGAGTCAGATTCATAGGGACAGAAAGTAGGATGGTGGGGGCCAGGGACTGGGGGAGGGGAATGGGCAGTTACTGTTTAATGAAGAAGGAGTTTCAGTTTGGAAAGATAAGAAAGTCCTGGAGATGGATGGGGATGATGGTTGCACAACAGTGTGGATGCACTTACTGCCATAGAACTCAAAAATGGTTAAAATGGTAAATTTTTATGTTATGCATGCTATTTTACCACATTTTTAAAAGCATAATATTTTCACAGTCTGTGCATGGGGAAATAGATAACTTTAAAAGAAAAATAGAAGCATTTGGTGAGGATTCATGATGTGCTACAAGGGTCCTATTTTCTTGTCACTGCTTCCAAATGTGACAACCGTGGCCTCACAGTCTTTATCTCGGGGAACACACTTCCCTCCTAGCCATGCGAAGCCACGTCTCTGAGAGAAAGATAGAGCCCTGCCCTCCTCCATGAGCCTCTGCACCTTCCATCTCCTCCTGTGGTCTCTGTCTCTCAGGAGGCACGGGTGGCTATGGGCCCCTTCGAGCCCTCCTGCCTGCTGCCCACCTGCCGGGATTACTGGACCTACCCGGGCTCCCTCACCACTCCTCCACTAACTGAGTCTGTCACCTGGATCATCCAGAAGAAGCCCATTGAAGTGGCCGCGAACCAGGTGAGCTGTGCCTGCAGCCGGTGTAGTGGGACTGTACTGGAGAAATTGTTTGGCAGCGTCACTAAGATATTGTAAGTGGACATCGTGGAGTTTTACTTTTTGGTGCATTTTGGATGTTCCCGCACCTGAAGAACGTTCCCATTGAAGTAAAAGCTTGTTGACACTGAAAAAAGGTTCCTTAAATCACAACTCTTTGACCTAGAGATATTAGTGTGTGAGAGACACCGAGACAGAGAGAGATGGATGCAGGGTGGGGGCAGGAAAGGATAGAGAGAGAGAACATTTTAGTTTGTTCCACTTGTTTTGGGTGATAGAACAGTATATATATGCTGAGATAAAATTCCAGAAGGATTGTAATGCTGTGTAACAAACCTTCCCAAAACTTAGTGGCTTATAACAAACAATTGTGTGTATGTGTTGTTTTTTTTTTCTGCTTGCAAGTTTATTGATTGGCTTGGGAGGCTTTATTTTATTTTATTTTATTTTATTTTAAGATATATTTTTATTGATTTCAGAGAGGAAGGGAGAGGGAGAGAGAGAGAAACATCAATGATGAGAGAGGCTCTATTTTAGGTTATCAGTGTCTGGGCTTCACCGAAGGTGGTCAGTGGTTGGGTTGGGCTTTATGTGTCTCTCATGCACCTTGGACCAATGACCACCAAGGGCTGGTTCTCATGGCAAATGACAAAAATGCAAAAGGCAAGCCAAACGACACATGCACACATAAGGCTTCTGCCGGCATCCCACCCATTCCCATCCTGTTGGCCAAAGCAAGTCACAATGGCAAGGCCAAAGCCAGTGGGGCAGAGAGGAAGGGAGTGAGTATTTACTGAACAATGCCCTGGTTTATCACATAGATACACACCAAAACATTACTTCTCAATATCCCAGGGTCATAGATCTGCAGTGGTTTTTATTTTCTTCCTTTTTCTTATCTAAATTTCTATAGTTCTAAAATAAATATATTTGGTGCACAAAATTCGTGCATAGGGGTGGGGTGTCCCTCAGCCCATCCTGCAGCTCTCCAATCTGGGACCCTTCAATGGATGTCCCTAAATGGGCAGATGGACACACCTTTCACAATCCAGGACTGCTGGCTCCCAATTGCTTGCCTGCCTGATTGCCCCTAACCACTTCTGCTTGCCAGCCTGATCACCCCCTAACCACTCCCCTGCCAGCCTGATCAATGCCTAACTGCTCCTCTGCTAATCCGATTGCCCCTAACTGCCTTCCCCTGCAGCCCTGGGTCCCCTTCAACTGCCCTCCCCTGTAGGCCTGGTCTCTCCCAACTGCCCTCCCCTGCTGGCCTGATCTCCCACAACTGCCCTCCCCTGCAAGCTATCTTGTGGTGGCCATCTTGATGGGAGTGGCCATCTTGTGTATTGGAGTGATGGTCAATTTGCATATTACCTCTTTTTTATATAGAATATATATATATATATGTAGTTGCATTATCTTTTTCTTTGGAAATCTAGAATCAGGAGAAAGTCCGTCTGTTGAGGGCAGTTTAAATTCAGGGATGACAAGTACATAGCAAGCCTGGTGTCACTGTCCCACCCCTGCCTCGGCAGACATCTCTAATTAATCTCAGCAGTATTCATCAGTTCTGGTCAAATTGTCCCTTTTCTGAGGGCTCTAGATGCACTCTTAGAGGTACTCCCAGCCTCATGCGTCTGAAAATATCCTCTTACTTAAAAGTCATGGAATGATACCCTTTGCTTTGCGAGTCTGAACTTTGAGATGCGGGCTGCAGATCACCCATCCTGCCCCAAACCAGAAATATTGCAGACATCACACAGCCTTGGTGGAAGAATTATATCCTTGTCACCAAGACCCCTCTGTCAGTCAACTGACATGTAATAAGTACCCATTCTCGGTCAGGTTTGTAACCAGAGAGGGTGGGAGATGGGTAGGAAGGGAAAGGGTGGTGTAAAAGCAATGATATCAGTCTCTGCAAACTGCTGTCTGCGGGGAAATGAAAACATAGTTGAGTATTATTCAAAAATGCAGAGCAGAAGCCCCTTACCCTGGCCGGGGGAGTGGGGAGGTGTGTGTGCACCCCCGGGGCAGTGGGAAGGAGATTGCCAAGGGAAGGAGAGGAGAAAGACTGCATTTCTGAGACTGTGTGCACCATGCCCTACAGAACTCCAGAGGGCGCTTCATCAACCACACAGCCCTTTCTTGCTCATTAAGTGGTCATTATAGAGATAAAATGTCACTTCTGTGTTAATTAAACATGTGAGTTATTTTCACAGAGCTCGTAAGTATAGTCTGAGAACAAATGGGATGAGACATAAAAAATAATATTTTAGTTCCTTGAGTGAAAAGTAAATCAAAGGTTACTTTAGCATTTATATTGTATGCATTAGATCTCTATTGCTGTGCAACCAATAGCTCCAAAACTTAGTGATTAAAAAAAAAATCATTTATTATCTCTCAGAGTTACTGTGGGTCAGAATTTGGGGTGGCTCTGCCCCCGGGATCTCTGATGGAGTTGCAGTCAGGTGTCAGCTGGGGCCGCAGTTTTCTGAAGGCTTGCCTGGGGCTGGAGGATTCATGCCCCAAGTGGCTCACGCAAGCAGCCTGCAAGAACACACACCACACCTGCCTTTCCGTGGGGCTGTTTCAGTGTCCTCACATCATGGCAGCTGGCGCCCCCAGAGCAAGTGACCCAAGAGACCCCGGCGGAAGCTGCAGTGCCTTTGCTGACATAGCTCAGGAGTCACCTCTGCCATGTTGTATTGGCCACACAGGGCCACCCCTGATCCATGGTGGGAGGGGACTGCCCACAGCCCGAGGGATGCCTGGGAGCCGTTCCCTGTCTCCACACCCAGGTAACTCCGGTGGCTCTCTGTTCCAGCTGGCCGCGTTCCGCACGCTCCTGTTCACCGCACTAGGCGAGGAAGAGAAGACGATGGTGAACAATTACCGCCCACTTCAACCCCTGATGGACCGGAAGGTCCGTTCGTCCTTCCAGGCCACGAAGGAAGGCGCCAGGTCCTAAACGCATTACGTCCAAGCTAATGGGCTGAACTGACTTTCAAAAGAGGAAGTATTGTTGCCCAGGTCTCATGGTCTGATCATATGCAATCCCTAGAATTAAAAGGAAAGACAGAGGTCATTGTTTCAGTCAATGTACTTGTCAGCTGCAGTGAAAACCACTTCAAAGGGAGTGAATGGGTATCTGGGACCTGAAGTATCTCACAGGACTCGCAGCAGGTCACGGCAGCCTCACGGGGCCCAGCAAGCCCCCACCTGACGTCATCCGCCCAGCCCTCCCTCAGCCCCATGCTGTCCTCGCCCCAGCGGGTGTCCTCTGTTTCTCACGCTCATGGCTACACCGCAGTTCCCAGGCAACAGAGTCCCGATGCATCAGTGTCCTGGGGCCCCTGTAACAAATGACCCTAAACTGAGGGTTAAACATCAGAAATGTACTTTCCCATAGTTCTGAAGCTGGAAGTTTGAGGTCGAGGTGCCAACACTTTTGGGATCTGGTGAGACCTCTCTCTGTGGCTTGCAGGTGGCACCTTCTCACACGGCCTTTCCTCTCTCTTTTCCTCTTATAAAGCCATCAACCCTAGTATCCAGGAAACCCTGTCACCACAAAGTCACTCACCAGATCACACCTGCAAAGCCCCTCTGCCGGGTCAGGCCGCACAGGTCCCAGGGCTCAGGTGGTGAACATCTTGGGCCGTGACTCAGTGGACGGAACTGGGAACGGGAACAGGGAACCAAAACCTAACATTGTCACTGGAGATAAAATGTAAAAAGAGCTAGCCGCTATTAACTCATTGTCTAGTTGAGATAGTGGTGTTTGAGGCAACTTTAATTTGTTAATCATATGTAAATGTAAGTTGATTTTCTGTTGTTGGAACTTCCTCCTTAAGAAATGTCTTTGTCTCAGAATCTCAATAAAAGGAATGGTAAAAGGCCAGAGCAGGGATTAGTCTTCCCACTAGAGGTAGACTTCCCGCCTGGCCCCCATTTTCCCAAATTAACTCTTTTCCAGTCTCTCTCTTCATTTTAGTGTGCGGCCTTCTCCAGAAACCAGACCCTGAGTGGGCCCTGAACCACGCGGGTTTTCTGAAGGAACATGCAAAACCAGCCTGCGGCAAGTCAGCCAAGCAGCAGGCAGCAGCCTCGAGGCCAGCCTCCTCGGAGGCAGGGGAAGGGGGTGGATTGGGAAAAGTGCAAGAAGCCGGGCAGAGTGGGTAAGTGAGTGTTCCTGAGCTCCGCTACCTCAGAGCAACTTCTGTGATGGTGACGTGACCAGAGCCACACTGTCCTGTATACACAGAGCCACTGAGCACTTGAAATGTGGTCAGTGTGACTGAGGAGCTGAAGTTTAATTGTACATGATTTTTAAAAAATATATATTTTATTGATTTTTTACAGAGAGGAAGGAAGAGGGATAGAGAATTAGAAACATCAATGAAAGAGAAACATTGATCAGCTGCCTCCTGCACACCCCCTACTGGGGATGTGCCGGCTACCAAGGTACATGCGCTTGACCAGAATTGAACCTGGGATCTTTCAGTCCGCAGACCAAAGCTCTATCCACTAAGCCAATCCGGCCAGGGATAATTGTACATAATTTTAATTAGTTCAAATTTATTTATTTATTTAAATATATTTTATTGATTTTGTATAGAGAGGAAGGGAAAGAGACAGAGAGCCAGAAACATCGATGAGAGAGAGTCATTGATCAGCTGCCTCTTGCACACCCCCCACTGGGGATATGCCCGCAACCAAGGTACATGCCCTTGACCGGAATCAAACCCGGGTCCCTTCAGTCCCCAAGCCAACGCTCTATCCATTGAGCCAAACTGGTCTCGGCATTTATTTATTTTTTTAAATTGAGAAGAAGGGAGAGGGAGAAAGAGATAGATACATCAATGATGAGAGAGAATCATTGATCAGCAGCTTGCCATATGCCCCACATTGGGGATTGATCCGGCAACTCGGGCATGTGCCCTGACTGGGAATCGAACCTTGACCTTCCAGTTCATAGGGCAACGCTCAACCACTCAGTCAAATTTAAATATGCAGCTCTTTCTAAGCCTGGGTGTTTGTTACATGGGTTTGTATGTAAAGCAGCACGGAAATGAACACTCAATACTCATGCACCTTACACACTTCACACAATATATATTATACCTCAATTGAAAGAAGTACTTTGTTCACCCACTTGGGAGCTCAGGTTTCTGACTGTGGACAGGATACCCGGCCATCTGGGATGTGGGCTCAAGCGCTTCTGGGAGTAAAGCAGGCAGGTCGCTGGGGCACCAGGATGCACTGACGGGGTGCAGGGCTGAGCATCAGGATGTCACCAGAGCAGCCTGCCTTGCTCCCGAGCTGCCTACGAAGCACATCATGAGACACACTGCCGCAGGGAACTGGCGCCACCAAGAGAAGACAACTTTTTACTGAGGCGGCACCAGTAATTCATTCTCAATAAAAATGGTTTAAAATAAAACATTTTGGCTTTTAATGCCGAAACCAGTTTGGCCCAGTGGATAGAGCTTTAGCCTTCAGACTGAAAGATCCCGGGTTTGATTCCGGTCAAGGGCGTGTACCTTCGTTGCAGGCACATCCCTAGTGGGGGGTGTGCAGGAGGCAGCTGATCGATGTTTCTGTCTATCTCTCTCTCTTCCTCTCTGTAAAAAATCAATAAAATATATTATTTTAAAAAGAGGATTAAGTTCGGTGGTTATGCTGGGTGAAAGAGGATCGGGCTTGAAGGAGTCAAAATCGATGTGGAAAAAGGAATGCAATCAAAACAGACACGTTTTTGTACGACTCTAAGCTGCTGTCCCTGCTTACTTATCATCCGTCATTAAGTTTACCGAGCAGCAGGGTGTGCCACCCCCAGGAACAGTTCACAGAGCGCTGTCTGTGCTCCGCCAGACAAGGGCTGAGTGTGCCCAGGCATATCCGGCAATCCTCAATCCCACTGTGTGTCTGAACCCCGGGGGGCCAGCCCCAGTCCTCAAAGCTTGTGCTGCCCTGGGTCTGAGGAACGGTTTTTACCTAGCTCCCCACTACTGGATTGTGTGGCCAAGGATGAGACCACACAGCAATTCCCACTTGGCTGTTATAACAAGTTCGATGAAAATTCTATGAAATTGTCCTCCTGGGGAGACCGAGGCTCACTGAGGGGTTGAGACTCTTGAGATCTCTGGGTTAGGGGCCTGTGTAGCCTTTTGCTTTTGCCCTCTCTGATGTGTGCAATTATTGATAAATGCAAGGAGACATACAGCCTTAAAGCAAAAGCACAAAACCTGAACTTAACCATACGAGAAATCGTATTCTGCCATAACCTGCAGGCACATTTCCAAACTCCATCCAAAAGCGGCAGCTCCTCAGCCCTCCTGCAGCGCATGAGAGCATCCTTTTCGCGTCTGGAAGGAATTGCGGTGACTAGGGGTTGGGGGTGGGGGTGGTCTGTGAGTTGGAGGGTGCAGAGCAGCCACATGTCCGTTCTCTGGGGGCCGTTTCCACGGGGGCATTGGGAAGAGGAGCTGTGGGAGGGAGAAAGGACCACAGCACCGTGAACTCGGTTCCACTTGCCACACTGTCATAGCATGTGCCAACAAGAACGCCAAGAACAGGCGGGGTACTTTCCCCCCATTTTTCGTGTGGCTGTAGGTCTGTCCTCTGAACGCACACAAACACCTTTGTCTCCTGGTGGATGTTCTCTGTGGTCAGTTGTTTTTTTTAGAAACAGGCCTTGACCCGGAGACACAGATTTTCCTGGGGAGCACACCGAGCCTGGAGCATTGCGAGGAAGCCACAAACACGCCGGGAGGAAAGACATTGATCTCAGCCCTCAAAGCAGCAGCAGCGGATAAAACAAACAGGTGCTTCCACCGCCCTGGGCAGCCGCGGGAAGTCAGGCCCGAGCAGGCAGGATGGCTCCCACTGGGACACCTTTGTGTCTGGAACTGTGTTGTACAATTTCTGGCCCAACTTTTAAAGTTCAAGGCGTCCTCCCTTTGCTTTTATGTTATTTTCTCACTTTGTGAAAATACAAATGTGTGAGAGCTTGCAGGTTCATGGCAAACGGCTGTTGCCCTTCCCTTCCTCCCCCTTCTACTGGTTCTTAGCTGATTGGGTGGGAGTGGGCTGCAGGCCTGACTAAACCCCCATTGCCCCTCGGGACAAAACCCACAGTTCTTATGTGGTGGCCCCTGCCCCATCCCCCCTGCCCCCTCCCAGTTGCCCTTTCCGTGCCTACCAGGAATCCCGCCGCTCCCCACAGCTGGTCCTGGTAGCCTGACACCCCCTCTCCCACCTGCTCCATAGCTGCTCCTCCTTCTGCTCTCCGCTGAAACACCCACTCCTCACAGACCTTTCTGGAGCCCACAGACTGCACCTGGTGCACAGCTGTACCTCAGCAATGAAGGGGTACCTTGTCCTTAGAGCTTGTTCCTCCTGCTAAAAAGCGCCCACTGACCCTCATCTCAGTAAACAGCACTTCCATCCACCCAGCCTAGGGGAACCCCTCATGGCTCCTTGCACACTATTCGAGCATCCCAAGCAGCAGTGGGTCCTGTGGGCGGATCCCCTATCCCTGTGGTCGGCAAACTTCTGCTCTCGAGCCACACGAGGCTCTTTGGTCTCTTGAGTGTGGCTCTTCCACAAAATACCACAGTCTGGGTGAGTCTATTTTGAAGAAGTGGCATTAGAAGAAGTTTAAGTTTAAAAAATTTGGCTCTCAAAAGAAATTTCCATCGTTGTACTATTGATATTTGGCTCTGTTGACTAATGAGTTTGCGGATCACATAGGGCCTACCCTATGGCATGTTTCAGGCCCGCTCACTGTTCTCCATTTTCTCTGCTACTGCCACGAGGCAGCCCCATCTCTAGCCGGAACTGTATTGCCAACCTTCTGCTCTTGCCATTTCTTCCCAGCATCTCCCACCCTCACCCAATCCATTCTTCTCTTAACGGTGCAGGGATTTTGGAAGGGGGACGTCAACTTGACTATCTGCTTCCCTGTTCAAAACGGAGGCCTCCTGTTACAGGTGGAATTGAGCACAAGCTCCTCCCTTCCATGTCGACCTCTGTGTGAGGGGCTCTCCGCTTGCCTTGCTGTCCCCACAGCTATTTGGGGG